CCCCCCTCCCCCCCCTCCCCCCCTTCGACCCCTTCAGTTTCCAAGGCTTCGAAGCCAAGGTTCAGTCACAGCATGCCTAACTCGGACAGTTGATCAGAAGGGCAACATGTGAGTTCAGCATTGATCCCTAAACCCTAAACCGTATGCTTCGGGCGTAAAGTCAGGTTTGGGCTTTCCAGGCTTGCCGTACCTGTAAGGCTCTCAAACAAATACTCCTAGGAAAGTCAGGAGTTTAGCAGCAGCAACAACAAAAAAGGAACGGAGCATGACCATAGCAATCATACGAATCACCCGAATCATGGTTGGAGCACGAAAAGGCATGAAAGTGGACGAAACCCTAAACCCTAAACCGACATCTACTGATCATTAGCTACGTTTGGTGCTGCTCCCCGGAGTCTTTGCAGAGACTGCACTCGAGAACATCCGATGCGGCAGCAACACGGCTTAGGGTTTATAGGGTTTAGGGTTTAGGGCTTAGGGTTTAGGGTTTAGGGTTTTAGGGTTTAGGCCCGCAGACCCGCTATGGCGGCGACTTTGTGTATTTAGGGTTCGCCCTAAACGCGAAACCCCACTGCCATCGGTAAAGATGCGCGATGAGCGTCCGTTCAGGGTGCAGGACTTTACCTTGAATCCTACACTGCTGTTTTGAGTATAAGGTTTAGGATTTAGGGTCTACACCGGAAGCCCTCTTGTAGTATAGAAGACTTGGCTTCAGCAGGAAGCGCAGACTTGCGGCCCAAAGCCCTGTACCTTCAGTCATGCGCGCAATCTGAGATGAGACTCCCGCCAAGAGGTCTTTGGGGTTCAGGAACTTTGACCAAGCTCACGGTCACACTACACGAGGCCCTTGAGCTGGGCCCAAGACTTCGGGGATTCGGGGTAGGGTTTGCGGATGCTGCGTGGACGCTTCAGGGCTACCAGGTTTGGGGTTTATCGGGTTTAGGGTCTATAGGGTTTAGGGTTTATAGGGTTTAGGGTCTGGGGTCTAGATCCTCAGCCGCTGGCATAGCTTGCTTCTCTTGTATCCGACTGCCCTCGGCAACGCGATCGTACAAGTCGCCACGGCTGTAGAAAGCCTGAGAACGGGCAGCACCCCTAAGACCAGTCGCACCACCGCGATACACCAGGTCTTCCTGAAACCCACATCCCGGCATCGCTAAAGAAAGGTTTTTACAATTCTGAAAGAGCCCCTGCGGATCTGCGTCTACGTGGCCAACCCGATGCAAGCCTCCTAGGATTCCAGGACTCCCAACTCAATGACAGGTTGAACCGGTACTGACTAAACCTATTAGAGCGCCTTGAGGCCCGAAGCCCCCAAACCCACAAGCATAATATAGGGGCCTTAATCATCAAAATAGGGTTGTGGGGCCCATTATACTACATTTATAATAAGGAACCCCCAAAATAATATAGGTAATTATTGAGGCCCCTATAGTAAGCCCTAACCGATCCCGAACCTGGCGTGAACCAAGTCATGACATGTCCCAAAAAAAATCGGCAACCCTAGCCCCTAAACGCGTGTTCCAGACTTAGGCGGGTTCTCATGGATGCCATGGGGCTCCGAAATTGCACCCAACTCCGAAACCATCAGGCCAATCCCCAATCCTAAAACCTCAACACCGAGAACCCTGCACTGAAAACCTAAAACTCTAAATGCTCGGCGCCTCAGTCCGAAACGTTCAAACACCTCACCCCGACATCCATAAGCCTAATGGCTTCGCTTTGGTTTCCGTCCCACAGGCCAGGGTGCCCCGAGGGGCGGTAGAGTTTTAACAGGGTTAGGGTCTAGGGTTGGGGGTTTAGGGTTTAGGGTTTAGGGGTATCTAACGCCTATTTCCGTCTGCCAATCCAGCATCCACAAGTTCTGCTTCAGAAGACTGTACTGGTGTTAACGGTTTAGGGTTTAGGGCTTTAACGAGGCCTCGTTCGTAATCAGCCAGACCTCTGTATATTACTGTATACAATCCCTACTCGAGGAGCAAGCTGTACCGGCCCGGCTACGAAAAGTGGTGGCAGCTTCCGAGCCGGACCTTAACCCTAAACCCTAAACCACTGCGGCCAAGACACAAACACAAGGTTGTATGGCGAGGACCTTGGCTTTGACATCGTGGGGAGACAGGATTCGGCTGCTGCTGCTGCGATCCTACTGCTACTACCACCACCACCACCACCACCACCACCACCCCACCACAACGACTACTGCTGCTGCTGCTGCTACTACTACTAGTACTGCTACTACTGCTACTACTACTCCGCCACCTCCACCGCCACTGCCACCCGCCACTTTTCGGCATTATGGCAAGCTGAATAACCTTTCCGGTCAATGCTGTTATTGCTCCTTTTGCATCACTGTATCGATTTGTCCTGTGTTGCACGGCCTGTCGATCTACGGAAGCCCGTTTAGGGTTTAGGGTTTAGGGATCCGAAAGCATCTTCAACACAAGCTGCTGATGTGCAGTTTTGCTGGGTTTTGCTTCTGACAAAGCCGAGTCCAGACGTGAGAGAAGGCATAAGCTCTCGGTCTGGTGATTTGGTGTCTTACGCTCCCACTTGGAACCGCTTGTTGCGCAAAGTCTTGCGTCCCTTTCCTTACATCTGAAGCCTCGATCAGGCTCAACAGCGGCATGACAGTAGAATCCGTAAAGAAAAGGAGTTCCAAATAAGGTACCTCTGATTTTACGACCCTACACTCCGGATGAGAACTTTGCAAAATCGTTGGGCCAATGATTCCCATAAATTTACTCGGTTGCGTTCGCATGCAGGCTTAGACAAGTTTCAGGGTTTAGGGTTTGGTGGATAAGGTTTAGGGTTTACGGGTTGAATTGAAGTCTGGATTTATGCTTTAGAGCTACACAGCTCACGATCTTTGCAGATTTCACACAAGTGTTGCCTGCTCTTCGCGGTATGTCTCAAACAACTCCTGTGCTGGGAGGCGCATGCCGGGTTCAGGGTGTTGAGTGTGAGGGTTTGTCTAGCTTGGGGCTTTGGGGTGTGTACTTTATTCGTACTGCTATTGTCCGTGTTTTGCGATCTTTTTGGGGGCTTTTGGCATTTTTACGGGTTAGGTCGCACTTCACGCTTCTCTTCCTCCAAAGAAGTATGGAGTCTTCTTTCCCGGGCTTGTCGACCCTATTCCTGGCCACGGCTATACAAAAGAAGCCTGAATAATTGTTGATACTATTCCTCAGGGCTCTTGATTCTGGTTATACCATGTAATACAAAATCCTACTCTAGTCATTACGGCCTTTTTGTTGTCTTACTCTGCATTGCTATATCGTCCTGCGGCGGGGTGGGGAGGGGAGGGCATGCCATGCTTATGTTAGAGTGATACCTTGGTTATGATGGTCAGAGAGTGATCCTGAATTAGAGATCGAGCGGGCTCTGGAGGCAAAGGGGGTCTTGAGCAATTTTTATGTAACCCAACAGAAGCCACCTTTTTCTATTGGCCTTATTTCGGGTTTGTTTCTGGTGCGCCAAGTTGTGCATTTGCATGTGGAAGGCTCCTCCGACCTTTCCTGTGAGGACCTTTGGTCTCTTGGAAGGTGTTTTGGCTGTGCGTGCTGCCGGTACTCGTTACGGCCGTGTTCCTCTTCAGCATCTTCGGCCCTTGGTATGTGTCGAGCGGCCTCGGTGGCATCATTCTTCTTTACCTCGTCATCGAGGCCGTTTCGGCTCGCCATGTTAGAGCCCACAACCCTGACACCCTACAGTTACCGTGAAAACCTAGAATTTCCTTTGACCCTACATGTTTTTCTTTTAAGTCTCTAGAGTTTCCCCACAATCACCTTAAGCGCCGAAGCCCTGTAAACCCGGAGGGCCCCGTCCCCAGCGCCCTGAATGGAACCCCTGCGACGCAAGCCGTGGAATCATCGGGCACCCGACGAACTCAGTCCAAGTAAGACCCTTATACCCTTGGAGTTCATAAGTATAGCATAATATACCCCCGAACCCTATTCCATGTATTTGTACCATATATTGAGCCCCACAGCCTACAGCAGTTCGGATTCTAGAGGTGAGTCGTCATCCTCTTGTCTGAAAAGCTTCTGTGTGACGGTTCAAAGGTGACCATCATCATTCGTACCAGGCTGTTAGGGTTTAGGTTTGCCTAACCCGCATGGTTCGGTTTAATGGTTCGTCATTTCAGCTCCATCCCTCAAGTTTCAGGGTTTAGGGTTTAAGGAGTTTAGGGTTTAGGGGTTTAGGGCTCCAAGGTGATAGTCATCTACCTTCAACGCCTGGAAGGTGAGGGTCCAAATCATCGGATCTTGAACACCTGACAGGGGACGATCATCCGATATAGTTATAGTCGTGGGGCCTAAAACCCCTGAAAGGTGCCTACAACTGCCTATACCCCTTTATACCCTAAACACCTGAACGGTGACGATCATCCTATAACCATAATATACCCTAAACACCTGAAAGGTGACGATCATCCTCTTTTTCAAGAACCACTTCCAGCTCTGGGCGCTCCAGCGGCCCTGGAACCTCCTCGCTCGCCTCCTTTTGCCACCGGTAGAGGTTGGGCCGCGTTGGGCCATTGGGTTTAGGGCTTAGGCCGGTAGAGGTTGGGTTTCTGACCAGGCAGGGTGCCTTCGAGGGTAATTTGTGGTTTATCTTTTCTGAAATTCCCCGCAGATCGTCGACAGTATCTCAGCCGGCAACACGAACAATGCGATGATCACCTATCGCAACTGGGGCACCAACTTCTGCGCCTCCGGACAGGTCTGGCTGGGCAGCCACGCCGATGTGACGAAGGCCGTGCAGAATCCGCAGGGTCGAAGTTTCTGGCTGGGGGAGCACCCCTTGCTGCCCAGCTCCTTGCCCCAAGGGGAGTCCGGCCGCTGTGTCTTCCTGCTGAGCCTCTCAAGCAAGGCTGCCGGGGGCACCGGGGATCACGAGGCCTTCCGGAAGTGCGTGGTGGACACCTTGTTGAACGAGGCCTCCGTGGCCAGGGAGTCCGATGCGATCTCCCAGCAACTTATGGAGCAGTGTGCCGAGGACTTCCCTAAACTTCAAGCCCCAAGGCCCTAAACTCTAAACCCTACATCCCGAACCCCGAAATCCTAAACCCACAACGCCGAGGACTTCATGAAGCAGGATGCCGGCTTCGATTTCTACTACGGGGCTGACGGTGGCAACCAGGGCTTCTGGACGAAGTATCTGCACCATGTGCTCTTCGGGTTGGACATTCAAGACAAGGACAGAAAGCCCTTCAACCTACTACAGTGTCCGGGTTAGGGTTCATTGGATTTAGGGTTTTGGGCCCGGTTGTTCGAGGAGGTGATGAGCAGCCTGAATGCCTTCTACACGGGACAGCTTGGCCTGATGCACTATCTGGACCCCATGGGACATTTCTTCTCACAACACGAAAAGATTGCAAAGGTTGCCGACCTCTACGAGGCGTCACCCGCCTTCAGCAACTTCGAGGTGGGAGGAAGACATGCTTGGGGATTGACTCGAGTCAGTTTGGGTTAGGACTTGGGGCTTAGGTGTTCTTGAGGGTTCAGAGGGAGGCTTCTTCCAATCGGTCGGAGGTTTCGCAAATATAACTCTCTGTGACCTTGGGCAAAGCCGAAGCCGCAAAAGTCCCGAGCTTCAGCAGATGCTATTCTGCCAATACTACCGGGGCATGATGAACTACCTATATTTTTCCTGAGGGTTCCTTATGCTAGCTATACTGTAACATAGCCCAGCACCCTATCAAGGCCATAAGACTTGAAAGAGGTCAAGACTGAGTACAACAACATGACTGCCAAAGAGCTGGCCCTGCTGATGTCAAGCATCATCCGAATTGCTGGCGTTCAGGGCTCTCGCATGTTGACCTGGTTCTGCACCTCGGGGGTCAAGTACGGCAATCTTCAGATCGATGCCCGGACCGTTTGGGACTCCCTGGACCTGGAGGACGAGGACGAAGTCTTGAGGTACGTCCTCGAAGTCGCTCGCCTCTCCCCTCCCGTCACGGTCTCCCACCATGTCGCCACGGAGCCCTTCAAATGTGAGATTGCCAGCCGGAGCTACAGCTTCCCCAAGGGCACCAAGGTCGCCATCCCCTTGGTCTTTGCCAACATCGATCCCAATGTCTGGGGGAAGGACGTCTGGGAGTTTAACCACAAAAGGCCAGGCCTAAAGGAGAACCACACCGGCTTCAACTCTGTAAATGGCCTGGGGCCTCGCGAGTGTCCGGGCAAAGGCTTGGTTCTCAGGAGCATGGTTCGCCTGCTGCAGGTCATCGGAAAGAAGAAGAGGCAGCCAAGCACCAGTCCGCAAAGCGTTTGAGGTCGAGGCTCCATGATCAATGTGGCACAAGCTCCGCAGATCTGGACCGCCTTGATACCACCACCGCTTTGAGACATTTCTGAAACCTTCACACCCACTGCACTTTCATGTAATGTTAGCCGCGAGCCCAACCAGTTTCTGTCCATGTAGCCCTCCACCCGACTCCCATCGGCGGTGTGCGCATTTTGCTCGGCGCTTTGCTGCGTTGCAGCCAGTCGTCCATAGACGTGCTGGCCCCGCCGGCATGGGCCCCCGGACCGTAGCAGGAGTTTGAAGTATCCTAGAACCCAGGACCTAGATCTGAAGTTCATAGATGTCAGCGTCATCATGGCCATGACGGCCAATTTCACGAGAACCTTACATTAGCTATCAGCAGCCCTTCATTGTCACCGTCATCGTCACCACCTCCTATCGCCATCATACGAGCTCATGAACTTTTGGCATATCAGTCTGAAATCATCGTCTTTAATCGCACCTCACTCCTCACTTAACTTCATTCATTCCATAATTCATTCATTTTGTTTATTTGTTGATGTATTTATTTGTTTATTTATTCTTTCACCCAGCCAGCCATCCATCCATGAATCCATGCATCCATGCATCCTTCCATCATTGCATCCTTGCATCATTGCACCCTTGCATCATTGCATCCAGCATCCATGCATCCATCCATCCAGTCGTCCATCAATGCGTGCCTTCACGCCTTCATGCCTTCATCATCATCATCATCATCATCACCATCATCATCATCATCCTCGTCGTCGTCGTCGTTGTCGTCGTCGTCATCACCATCATCATGTCATCATCGTTATCATCGTTACCATCGTCACAATCATCATCGTCATCATCGTCATCACCGTCGCCACCATCATAAGAGGGTTCCTCTGGTGGCTTTCTTTAAGGGTTCTAGACGGGATGCTATAAGTACACGCAGTACAGGGGCCTCAACGACAACTATAGGGTTTTGGGGCACCGTCTACTATACTTACGTCTGGGAATCCTAAGGAATAATATTTCCCATTGCTTAGGCTTCTATATTAGGGCTTCCGGATGGTGCAGAGATTCATGATGGCGACCGCGACACTGACACCGAGCCTGAGCTCTTATGCGGCTTTTCAATCTTCTCGCTACGATGGAGCCTGTAGGTTGAAGACCTACGCATGTTAGAATGGCGGTACTGTTGCGATACCAGGTGTTTCAAGTGGCACAAGCAACTGTGGGAGGAAGAAGGAAGGGATGAACAAATGAAAAGGTGATGTTGGATTGGAGATGCTGCTTTGCTGATGACGAGTATGACGATGCGCATAAGGTTAACGAGGAGAACGAGGGTGAAGATGTGGCGCGGACACACAGGATCTCGGTTGAGAACTCTAGAATAAGGGCCTGTAGCTATACATAATCAACCTGCTTATGGATTGGGAAGGACCCGCATGAAAGCCCGGCAAGCGATGTGATTCATTTAGCATATACGACCACGTTTCATTTTACATGCACATGCCCTAAGCCCTAAACCCCAAGCCCTAAACCCTAAACCCTAAAATCCAAACTGAAATGAATGAGTCTGCTTCCGATCTCCGGGTCCGACTGCCCATCCTGGCCTAGCCTGACGTGAGTGTACAGCCCGAGAAAACGGAGTCATGCCATTTCCTTCGGGAGTTTGTGGATTTTTTTGGGTGTTTGGGGTCTAGAGTCCAGGACAAAGGGTCGGGGGCTCGGGGATAGGGCTGGGTGTACGGTCTAGGGTTTGGGTTCAGGGTTCACGGTTCAGGGTTTAGGCCTTACAAGGTTTGGGAGTTGGGGCTTCGGGTGCCCCAGAACCCATCCAACCCGATCCCTAAGCAGGATCCAAGACATCCCAAACACAAATACACCCTAAACCCTAAAGCCTAAACCCTGAACCCTAAACCCTGAACCCTGAACCCTAAACCCTAAACCCTACCCCCTAAACCCTAAACCCTCAACCCTAAACCCAAGTCTCAGCCTTGCCATCGCGCTTTCGCTTCCTCGGCCCTCAGTCCGGAAGCCAAACCCTCCAGCCTAGGCCATTAAACTGGGCTCTTGTTAAGGGATTTAGTTTAAAGTTACCATAAATGAGGAAACCATATGATTTACTATAGATCCTTGTTATGGAAGCTTAAATTTCAAACCCCCTAACAAGAACCCAGATTAAAGGGGGCAATCTGAAACCTTGAGCCTTGATCCCTGAGCCCACTTAAGCATCGCAAGCCTTAAACCCCAAACCCCAAACTCCAAAACCGTGAGCCCAAAACTCCAAAACCCTAAGACAAGCAGACCCTGAACCCCAAACCCCGAACTCCAAAGCCTAAGCCTCGAACAGAGCTCGAAGCGGGCTTGAGGCCATTTTCTCCACGCTCGTTGCATCGCTGACCTCCCATGCGGCCTTCCTTAACAAGTCGGGAGAGGAGTCTGCCAGCCCAAAGCCTGACACCTCAAGTTTAGGGTTTAGGGTTTAGGGTTTAGGGTGTAGAACATCCCCAACCCCAAACTCCGAAACCCCAAACTCCTGTGCGCGAGGAGCGGCGAAACGAGTTTCGCCTGCTACGGAAGTTCTTGGCGCGAAGCCAAGTCGATGAAGAGTTGGCTTTGAGGACTGGGTTCTTGGTGAAAAGCTTTCTTTTATTTAAGTTGGATCTATAGTAAATAATGTGGTTTTTATGGTAACTTAAAGTAAACCCCTTAACAAGAGCCCAGTAGGGCCCTAATCGGTTCTGATCCTCCGAGTTCCCCCCGGACATACGCAAGCCTAAAGCCTCGACTCCAGGGGCTTGCACAGGTTTTTTTAGGGCCGTTGAGGAGGGCTCTGGCAAGCATCGAATAACGGATTCCGAAAGACTGCGGACTTTGGGTTTCGGTGGCCAACTTGCCAGGGAGAATGGATTTTTTTGAGGAAATGGCTCTTGAGAAGTTTCGGGGTCCAGCGTTTCTGGCTCAGGCGGCCACGAAGGTTCAGGGCTCAGTGTGCGTAGGTCTGTTTTTAGCTTGCCAGGCTTCGTCTTGCTCCCTTGGCATAGATACCACTTGTAGACTGTGGTGGTCCCTCTCGGCTTTGCCAGCAATCAGGTGTGGTGAGTGTGGTGCGCTGTAAACCCTGAACCCCATTATTGGAAAATTACGGTAACCCCCAAAACTGCTCTGTTCCTACGATCTTCGTCCCTCTGGGCTTCGGTGGCCTCTGGGAGGCAAAGAGCCGAAGAAAAGGCTTAGTCTCTGCTGAAGCGAGCATCCATGACCACGACGAAGACCGCGACGACGAAGACGCCCAGTACCATTATCAAAACTAAACGATTGCGACGACGACCTACCACCACGACCACAGCTTTTACTACCATCGCCGCTGCTCTGCAGGATCCAGCGATTCCTGGAGCATGCTCATGCTCTGACGAAGGCCTGGGAACCCACGGCTCAGGGTTTAGGCTTTACGGCTTGGTGGTTCAGGGTTTAGGGTCCAGGGCTTCGGTGGTTTGGTCATTTTGGGGACAACTTCGACAGGCAGAGTCACACCTAAGGCCGATAGTTTGGGGGCTCGGAATAGTCAGTAATCTACCACGCCCGTACCGTCCAGATATGATAACGCAGAACCCTACTCTAATGATTGAGGCCCTTCTATTGTTCGTTATTGGCAGCCGTGAAAGGTTGAGGATTCAGTGTAGTCTCTGCTTCAACTGACGACAGGACCATGATACGGTGCGGCACTTTGATCTCAGACTCTGACTAGGGTTTTGGCGTCCCCGAACCCTCATTGCCTGCCTGCAGGAAGTCGTCGATGAAATTCAGGTCCCTTTGCTGAGGCTCGCTGAAGAGAGTCGTTTGTGTTAGGGTGTATAGGACGACCATCGAAGAAGTTGGAGTACATGCCACTGGCCCATCGTTGCTTCTTATGTATGTTTCGTCGTTCTCTTCCAGTATGACCTGTATATCCATGAACAATGCAACTGCTGCAGCTGATTCGGTTCGTGGTCCCATTTCACCATGTGGTGATGTTGACTGCGACTCTGAGTCTGATCTCATTATACTTATAGTGTTGTGAGTGTGGTGATGAGTAGGCTTCTGCACAGTGTCACTGCTGTCATTGGCAGCGGCATCACGGATGACGGTTGCGCTTCTGGCTGTGGCATCACTGCTGCTGCTGCTGCTGCTGCAACCCATGGTATCAAATTTTCGAGCCCTGATGCGCCAAGGGCTGCTTCCTCTGTCGGTGGTCATAATGACGGGTAACGAGAAGGATGGCGACAATGTTGATGTTGTTGGTGGTCATGAGCAGGAGCTTAGATCATGATGAAGGGTTTCCCATTACCAATGCCAGTTTCGGTCTCTGTCGATGCACAAGCAGTGGGATCAGGCCTCTGGATGATAGCTGCGCCGGTGTAGCTGTGTTTCTTCGGTGCCAGTGCCGTTGAAGACATAGGTCTCTTTCTCCGTCATGCTCATTATGCCTTCCAGTTTTCAAGCAGTTGTGTGGCTCTTGCTGTTACTGTTCCTGTTGCTGTTACTCTGATTATTGCGAGCCTCGCGAATCGTGCTGCTGCTGTAGTAGTAGTAGTAGTAGTAGTAGTAGTAGTAGCAATAGTAGTAGTAGTAGTCGTCGTCGTCGTAGTCGTAGTCGTAGTGGTAGTCGTAGTCGTGTCGTAGTCGTAGTCGTAGTCGTAGTCGTAGTCGTAGTCGTAGTCGTAGTCGTAGTCGTAGTCGTCGTCGTCGTCGTAGTAGTAGTAGTAGTAATAATAATAGTATACTATTAGTGGTAGAGCGGCAGTGGTACTGGTAGCGGTAGTGGCAGCGGAGCGGTAGTGGTAGTAGTGGTAGTAG